GAGACTCTACGGGCGCTGCGGGCCCGCGGCAAGCGACTGGGCTTCATCACCAACAACAGCAGCAAGACTCGCACGGCCTACGCGGAGAAGCTAAGGCGCTTGGGTTTCGGCGGTCCGGTGGGGCCCGACGCGGGCCTCGAGGTCTTCGGCACGGCCTACTGCAGCGCGCTCTATCTGCGCCAGCGCCTGGCCGGTGTGCCGGACCCCAAGGCCTACGTGCTGGGCAGCCCGGCCTTAGCGGCCGAGCTGGAGGCCGTGGGTGTCGCCAGTGTGGGTGTGGGCCCGGAGGCGTTGCAAGGCGAAGGCCCGAGCGACTGGCTGGCGGTGCCGCTCGAACCCGGCGTGCGCGCGGTCGTGGTGGGCTTCGACCCACACTTCAGCTACATGAAACTCACCAAGGCCGTGCGGTACCTGCAGCAGCCCGACTGCCTGCTCGTGGGCACCAACATGGACAACCGGCTCCCGCTAGAGAACGGCCGTTTCATTGCGGGTCCGTGCGCCTAGGGGCTGGAGGTTGGAGGGCGGGCCCAGCCCTTCCGTGTCCTCTGACCCCCAGCGTCCCCTTCCCTCCTTCGCCCCGCAGGTACCGGCTGTCTGGTGCGAGCCGTGGAGATGGCCACCCAGCGCCAGGCGGATATCATCGGGAAGCCTAGCCGCTTCATCTTCGACTGCGTCTCCCAGGAGTATGGTATCAACCCGGAGCGCACCGTTATGGTGGGAGACCGCCTGGACACAGACATCCTCCTGGGCGCCACCTGTAGCCTGAAGACTATCCTGACCCTCACCGGAGTCTCCACTCTTGAGGATGTGAAGATTAATCAGGAAAGTGACTGCATGTACAAGAAGAAAATGGTCCCTGACTTTTATGTTGACAGCATAGCCGACCTTTTGCCCGCCCTTCAAGGTTAAAGATCTAGTGTCTTTAATCTCTGGAATAAAAAAAAATGAAAATCAGTTACCTAAATTAATAGGTGGGGCTCAGTTAGGTGGCTTCAGGTTAATTGGAGTAAAGCAAAGGCAGTAGTTAACCTTGTAAGTAAACGTTTTGGGGGTGCTGTTTACAGATGATTATATTTTAAGATGCACTTTTACACTTGGAAGGCATTATGGGGTGGGCCCTGGGCTTTGTATGTGTTGGCAGGGTTGCTCATAGCATCTGCCCGGGATTCAGGTAATCTTAGGCCCTGTTGATGAGTCTGAAGTGGGTCAAGGGTTGTGTGTCGTGCTTTTTACTGAAGAAAAAAAAAAATGTATTCAGGGATCAGACCCTCGGATGGGCTCAAGGAAAGGAAGGGCTGTTATGAGACACTTGTGCAGACCAAAATACGGGGTTTCACCCAGTGTGATCGATCATACAGCAGAGACGCCTGCTACTGTGTTACCTACAGGGTGGGAGTGGAGGAAGCTGCTCCCAGGTGGGGTTTCTGTTGATGGAGTTTAGTATGCTGCCCTTGAAAACTTCTACTCATCCCTGCTTCCTTGAAAGCCACTTTGATGTCACAATTGTCTGATCTGTATCAGATGCCCGGCACTACAGCCCCTCATGCACACTAACAGCCTGGGTAAACTTTGGCTTCCTTGTGTGAATTGAAACCCAGATGTTTCAATGTGGTCTGTTGAACATCAGAGTGGGTATGAATTCCCACACTGAACTCCATACTGCTGTACAGGGACCTTAGAATAGTGTTTATTTTTTAAAAAATTTTTCTTAAAACTACTGAGCAACATTGTCAAGTGTGGAATTGGATCTTTCTCTTTTTTTGGTTTTTCGAGACAGGGTTTCTCTGTGTAGCTTTGGAGATTATCCTGGCACTCGCTCTGGACACCAGGCTGGCCTCGAACTCACCGAGATCCTCCTGCCCCTGCCTCCTGAGTGCTGGGATTAAAGGCGTGCGCCACCAACACCCAGTGGAATTGGATCTTAAAGGGTTTGAATTTATAGCTGTGCTGTCACAGGGGTAAACCCCACTGAAGAAATCTCATGCCCCAGTCAGCAGCATAGCCAATGTGCAAGCCAAGGATTGCCTTGTTCCCAGAGTGCCCTCTGGGTATGGAAGGAAAAGAGGAGTCCTGAGAATAATTGTCTCTAACAACATATCCAACCTCCTTTGCCTGTGTCCTTTGCATTTGTGTCTGGGTCATATGTTGGTGCATTGGTGCTCCATGAAGCCATCTATTTCCATCCTGGACTTCCTTGCTGGTGACCAGACAGAAGGTCCATCCTATCAACCAGTTGGCTTCTAAGCATCTCTGGCTTTTTGCTCTGCTCTGCAAGTCTCTGACCTTTAGCAGCAGTATTCATAGGTCAAAACCAGGAAGCTGTTCCTTGTAGCTGACTCCTTCCTTCCTGGCACCTTGCCCTGTACCAAGTGGTTACTCTCATGGTCACAGCACTTCACCTGTTCAGGTTCTCAGAGCAATAAAATGTATCCCATGCCTGACGCTGCTCCCAGGTCAGGGGTGGCTGGGAGTGGAATGGTGCCATAATTCAACATGAAGGCGCAGTGCCTGTGACATTGGTAGTGCTGATCCTCTGTGAGTATGGACAATGAACAGACCTGTTTTGACATTATCACCCACATAGGAGTATTTGGCAGGGGCAGCAGCAAGGGATGCCCCCTCTTCTACTGGGCAGTAGCCTGAGAACCTATGTGTTACATTTCCAGCTTGTTTGATTGTGTGAACTCAAATGCACATTAAACTCTCAAACCACACTGATTAGGTCTGCCTTCCTCTATACTTTGAGTAGCAGCTGTATAGCTATGAGTGGGGGCAAGGCAAGAGTATATAAGGCAGGCTGGGATTCCAATTCCAAAATATTGCACAGTAGATGTAACCACTGCTGCCCCACCCTTCTTGCGAGGAACAGGTCCTGAAGAAACAGGAAGTATGTAGCATAAAACCAGAGACTACAGCTACTGGGTAAAATACGTGGATGTGAACATAGCTGAGCTACCATGTCACATAGCTATATAGATCAGAGACCAGAACAGTTAACAGCTTGCTTAGAAAAAAGCATGCTGGGGAACAGGCTAGCTTAGCCACCCAGCAAACTATCCAGTACAGCCCAGAGCCCAATTGGTGCACATGGGAATATCCACAGCCTCATCTGGTGCTAATGGGGTCTGGAAAGAGGCTTGGGAATTTGCAGGGAAAGTAAAAAAGCAATTGGCCTCATACTGATACTTCACTGAACATTTATTGATGGTTCCTGGCTCAGGAGTCTCGAGATAGAGACTCCAAGAAAAAAATCTGCCCAACCAGACAAAATCATCCTGGCTAATACCTAGCCAGTTCTGACTTCCCATCAAGGTCCTGCTTTTATTTGCTCCCATGAACCATGTTCTTTCTGCACAGGTCAACTGTCCAGAGACATGCCTGGTGACCAGCAATCACAGTGGGGGAGAGGGCTGTCCTGGCTCTGACCCTGGATATCAGATACTGGCAGGGAAGGAAGCAGTGGGATTGGGAGGGGAGGATACAGTTTGACTCATCAAAGGGATCCTGAGGTTTCCCTGGCTGACTCCGCCAAGGGGCTGTAGACAATCAGTGCATTGTCAGCAGGGGCTGCAGCATGGAGCAAGGGCACATCCACACTGGGAGCCTAAGGACCGGGCCTGTTGAGGTAAGTGTCTCTACCCACCCCTGCCCAAGAACACAGGGATACAAGAGTCAGGACCTATCAGCCCCTTCCCTGAGCAAGCCAGCTCTCTTAACCCAGAAGCCCCACTGACAGTAATATGCCCCCAGGTGAAGATCAAACCCTGCTGTAGGGACTGGAGAGCAGCCGCGCTGCTGCTGACACTGGTCACTGCAGGGGCTGTGGCTGGAGGGTTTCTCGGCTTCATGTACAGCCCTCCCAAGGTGAGTCGCTCCTCAAGCCCAGGGATACACAGAGTGGGAAAGGGGACAAGAAGGCCAGTACCTGTAAGCCCAACCTGTAAGCCCTCTCACGGGGCCAGGCCTTAACACTGGCCTTGAGAAGACAGAACCAGAAGGAACAAAGGCCTACTAAGGCCGATGTGGACATACCGACATCAAGGCTGATTTCCAAATGCCCCTTAGACATTGCTGCAGATGCTCCGAAAGACCTCAAGCTCCACGATACCCTGGTCCAACCAAACTACTCTAGTGGATGTGGCCCAGAACATGGCAACTATCATGGTGACTCCGCTTCAGAGCAACCACAGCTGGGCCATACTGTTTGACGGACAAAGTGTGAGTGAGCTTGGGCGTGGGGCAGAGGAGAACTATCAGGGTGGCCTTGACTTACCTATCTGCCTCCCCAGGGCTACATCTGTTACCGCCCTGCAGAGCACCAGGCCTGCTTCCTCCGTCTGATGGAAGCCCAAGATCGGGAGACCTTACGGCTGCTGGTGAACACTTCCAGGGTGAGCAGTACTACTTGGCTTGCCAATCACCCCCACCCCCCAAGGCCAGGGGACAAACAAAAGGTCCTCTGTGCAGCCCAACTGGGCCAGCCAAGGCTCTGGTTTCAGGGGAACAGAAAGCTCTATCTTCTCCTGACTAAAACCGTTGACAAGAGCAGGTGGAAGGGCCATCAGGCTGGGGTGGGACATGAATGCCCTACCCAGTCAGGATCAAGAAAGTACTATATGGTGGCCCAACTGAGTCTTTCTGCAGGCCCAAGAGTCCCATATACCTGGCCAAGACACCCACTATGCCCAGGAGCTGCTGGCAGTTTTGGGGGGACATACTGTGGACCCTGCCCGAGCAGGAGCTTCGGTGCAACACCTTTGCTTGAACACTCCCATCTACTGGGCCCAACGAGCAGAGGGTGAGTCGGCGTAGGTTGAGCAAAGAGGCCTGTGGCTCCTGAAGGACAGTACTAGTTGGAAGCCCTTGGGATTAATGAGTTCCCTTCTCCCCAGGGCCCCAGAGGCAGCGGCTGATCTACCTCTGCATTGACATCTGCTTCCCGAGCAACATCTGTGTGTCTGTCTGCTTTTATTACCTTCCAGACTAAGTCCCCTACTGACCTGCCTTTGGTCCCACAGGCCAGTCCTGTCCCCACAGGTCAGCAAGCTGGTTAGGTCACCAGCACCAACAAAGGACAGCTGACAGTAGGGACAAATAAACCCAGATTACCTGGCCATAGTGGTAATTTCTGGGGGGGCCTCAGGACCTGTACAGGGGTAGAGAGGGGCAAGTGGGGATAACATACTTGGGAAATGGGTGTCAACCTCAGATCTCCTCAACAGTTCAATCCCTCTGGGTCTAGCCTCTCTAAAGGGAGAAAAGACTCCCAATCCGAGCACATGTACCCTGGCTTAGTGAGCCTTCTGACAATGAAGAGAGTCCCAGGGTAGAGGGGCCATGGTAGTCTGGTCAGGTCCAGCTGGCCTGACATGCAGAGGCTGACCTGAGAGTCACTTAGGCCAGGATATCGTTGAGGTACATCCACTTAGAGCCACTATACCAGGCAATCCTGACTGTCCAATGCAGCCTCAAGGGGTAGAGGCTAACCCAGCACGCTGTCATTGAAGGCCAAGCAGATGACAGCTTTCTGATGGCCACCATACTCTCTCTTGATCTCTCCAGTCTCTACACACCAAAGCCGGGCCAGGTTGTCAGAGGAGGCTGCAGGAGGGATCAGGCAAAAGAGAAGCAGCAACCATGAATGGCCTCTCTAGAGGCCTAGGCAAGGTAGGGGAGTTAGGAGATAGGGCTCACCTGTGACTATGTACTGGGAGTCCCCTGAGAAGGCACAGCCCCACATCCAACCACGGGATGACTCTCCAGGATTACTACTCTTGATGCTGAGCTCTGTCATCAGGGAGAAGTTGGATGTCCTCCAAATTTTACATGTCTGGTCAGCTGAACAGGTGGCAAGGAGCCTGGGGTTGGACAATGGGTATCTCAGCAGCTACTCCTACCTTGTGTCTACTTACCACATACCAGGTAGTGCCCCCAGCCCCTGAAGATGCCCTCTTCCATCAGGACCCTAACACTCACGTGGAATCAGGGCTGAAGCGGCATTGCAAGGCATAGCGCGTGTGGGCCGGGATCTTGGTCTTGGGAATGAGCTGAGTCACCTCGTCACCAATGCCACTTGTCAGGTTCCAGACATAGCAGTTCCCCTATAGGACAGGAGAACAGTCATTCAAAACCCAGACCCAGGAACACCTGGGCCAGGGCAGGAAGGCCAGCATCTTGGGTCATGTCTATAGGAAGGTTGGCCCCAACAAGAAACCATGCCCAGCCAGCCAAAAGCAGGAGGCCACACTGGCCAGGGACTCAAACACAGCTCCCTAGAGGCTGCTGCTGGCCAATAGAGATGTGCAGGAAAGGAGGCGGTAAGGAGGGGACCCAGATAGACAATCAAACAACCCAAGCCTAGAAGGAGGGAATGCCAGTATATAGAACAAGTGATGTTCTAGGATTTAAAAGGAGAAAATGAGACTAGAGATGAAAGCAGGGACCAAACTGAAGCATCCTGAAAGAAAAGGAGGAAATAACTGGCCCTGAGAAAATACTGGCTGAGGTGCCTAGTCTGATAGGTGGACTATGACAGACAGCAAGGTGGACATGAGGAGTGGTACTCAAGTGCCGGACTTTGGGAGCTGGATGGAAACTTAGAGTGGCCTGAGGAACAACCATGGAATCAGCTCATCTGCAGAAGATAGGGGACTAGGTGCTGACATGCCCCTGTACCCCATCCCAGTACTCACAGCACTATTGACTGCTGCCATGTAGCTGGCATCAGGGTCAATGTGGGCAGATGTGATGGAAAACTCAGGCTCAGGAATCAGCTGCTCATTATGGTCTGTCTTCAGGTCCCAGATGTGGATAGCACCACTCTGGTCACCCACAATGAGTTCTGCCTGAGATATTGTGAGGGTAAGATGTGGTAGCACCTCTGCTTCCAAAGCCCCCAGGTACCTGGCCCCATGAGTGCTCCTCACCTGGTTGGGATGCAGACACACACAATTAATGGGTGCATTCACCTGGAAGATACGCTGACACTGCAGATTCCGGGATCTGTGGGGAGTTAGGGTCACACATGGTGTCTAATGTATGCTATTGGTATCCCACCAAAAGCCCCCATTCTTTGCTAATAAGAGTTGCTTCTGCCGGGTGTTGGTGGCACATGCCTTTAATCCCAACACTCGGGAGGCAGAGGCAGGTGGATCTCTGTGAGTTTGAGACCAGCCTGGTCTACAAGAGCAAGTTCCAGGACAGCCTCCAAAGCCACAAAGAGAAACCCTGTCTCAAAAAACCAAAACAAAAAAAAAAAAAAAAGAGAGAGAGAGAGAGTTGCTTCTATCTTAGGAACTTGTGGAGTTTGGCTCTTCTCCAGAGATGGTAGTGTTAGGTCATTAAAAAGGGACTGAAAGTCTGGCCCCTAGCCTCAAGGCAGGGTTGGCTTTGATGTAATTCCATCCTGTTGCTTTCTTTCTTCCTTCAAACACCCACTCAAAGCCCCCTAGATTAGTCTATTCATAGAATACCTGCCCAAAGACAATCCCCTGGCTGCCCTCTCCCCAGGCACTCAACACCCTCTCCAGCCCAGCACTCAACACCTGAGGTCCCATATGCGAGCCGTACAGTCTTCCCCGCCGGTGTACATCCAGCGGCCATCCTCATGAAAGCCCACAGAAGCAATGTTCTTATTGACTCCGTCGTAACTGATGATGGGGTTGGGGTTATTGGAGTTGAGATCATACATGCGGATATGTTGGTAACCTAGGGACACAGGCTGAATTAAAGCATGGGGACCAGGTAGTCCTGCCACCAGTCAAGGGCAGAGGTCAAGAATCTCAGGTACCTGCAGCAGCAATCATGCTTCGGTCTGGTGTGATCTCCAATGCATTCACCTGCTGAGTATGTTAAGGATGATGGGAAGTGAACCCTGGAAAGGGAGGCCTTGGGGCCACAGGCCATCAAGACTTCCACTACCTGGCCTTATTTTCCCAGGACACTTGTCATTCAGACTTAATCCTGGCCAGCACCACCCTGCCTGCTCCCAAGTGGAGGATACAGAGTCCTGATGCTGCACTGTTCGGGTGCAGATGCCACTGTGTGCCTGCCAAAAGCGCACAGTGTGGTCGTAGCCTGCAGTTGCCAAGATGACAGGGTCACTGCCCACTGTGCCTGGGGTGGTGTTCATTGCTTGATGGCTGGCAAAAATGAGGCCTGCACTGGGACAAGAGCTAGGTGATAGGCAAGGTCCAAAGGTCAAAACATCTAGAGGAAAAAAATGAATGTATGAGAAAACAATCTGCACATTACACTGAGCAGTATCACTTTAAAGATAAGAAACATGAGAGTCTTTGGGGTCACGCTGGCAGTCACGTGAGAGGCGACTCCAGCGCCTCTGCTTCCCAGCACCTGTTCCTTCAGCTTCACCAGCACGGATGGAGACGCCACCCCGCCTGCAGCCAGCAGGAGGCAGTCAGTCACACGCAGAGGGCAATCACAGGGGTGCCGTCTGCCGCAAGGGTAGGCAACGCATGCGCAGGGCGACTGGGGACGCCGGGCACCAATGCTGCTGCGCATGCGTAGTTGCCCGGCATTGAGATCTGATGGGTGGGGGAGCTGTGTGGCAGGACCCCCGAGGTCCCCTGTGCTCTGCAGACCGACTTGGCTCTGTCCTACCAACCTGATTACCCCGACCGCACCCTCCTAGCCACCAAGCGGCTGATACGCAGCCCTTATCCCGCGGCCTCCGTACCTTACACACGCTCAGCACTCTGCCTTGGTCCAGGACGGCGAGGCGAGTAGGAGCGAGTCGATAGAAGCCGGGCGGAGTGTGGAGTTATCGATAGCCGCTCAGGGCGAGACCATGAGTCCGGGATGTGGGGGAGTAAGTTTGCAGTGATTCCAAAGTTCTGAGAGGTGGAACTGCTGCAGAAGTCGCGTGCAGAGTGGGCGTCAGCCGCGACACCAGCCTTAAACTCACTAGACAAACATGGTGCGGCTGCCTATTTTCCAGGCTTAGTTCCCGGGAAGGATTGCACTGTCGTTGTCCCCCCCCCCCGCCACCTCTGCACACATACGCAATCCCTACCCTACCTACCAAGCTAGAATTTCCAGGCAAATACAAAACTTACAGATTCAAAAAAAAAAAAAAAAAGGTTTTTTGGGTTTTTTTTGTTTGTTTGTTTTTGTATAAGCATATCTCAAACGTTGTCCTAAAAGAATTACTTTCTTACAAGAAGTTCAAATGCAACTGGGCATTCTGTACTTTTGCTTTATCTGGTAACCCTAACCCTAACCTGGGCCCTTTCAGACCTGTCCAGGCCCAGCCAGATTCTCAGTACACACAAGTTAGCTAGGAACCCCTTTAAAACTCCAGATTCTCATTCCTCCATTTTTATTACAGCCCTCCGAACTCCACAATTCCTTGTTTTCCCATGATTCCTTCCCACTGCACCTATAGATGGGGCTGCAAACCCCTTTTTCCTTTGGCCACAGAGAGGATGAGTCCAGCTCCTTGGCCAAGGCCAATTCCTGCCCATGCATCCAGACATAGACACCCCTCTCCCCAGTACCTTCCCACAGGCCCTCTTTACCTTTACCTCCTTAGTGTGTTTTTGTTGTTTGGTTTGTTTTTTCCTTTTGTTTTTTTGTTTTGTTTGTTTTTTGGGACAGGGTTTCTCTGTGTTGCTCTGGCTATCCTGGAATTCATGCTGTAGACTGGGCTGGCCTTGAACTCACAGAGATCAGCCACTGCCTCCTGGGATTACAGGTGCGCACCAGCGAGGACTGACTTAGTTTTCTTTTAGCCCGGGGGTGGGGGGTGGGGTTGGGGTTTCGAGACAGGGTTTCTCTGTGGCTTTGGAGGGTGTCCTGGAACTAGCTCTTGTAGACCAGGCTGGTCTCAAACTCACAGAGATCCGCCTGCCTCTGACTCCTGAGTGCTGGGATTAAAGGCATGAGCCACCATTGCCCCGCCCGACTTAGTTTCTTCAACCAGGGTTTGTTTGGTATTCTACAGGGCCTTCAGACTTATGTAGGCAAGGATGACCTTGAACTTTAAGTGCCCTGTCTCTAACACTTGAAGATGTCAGGGCACATGCTAGGGAAGTTACACTGCCATCTGAGTTTCAGTGATAACTTCAGCCTCCCCCTTAGTGTTATAAACCCAAAAAACAACCCCAATACTCTTTTCCCATCTAAACTCTCTCTCCTCCAAAGAGCTGTTCTCATCATGTTGGTAGCTCCACTTCCCATCTCCCCCTCATTTCTCAGATTTACCCAAGTTCTCTGGGGAAATTCCTCAAGGCCACTGCCCAACTTAATCTTCTAAACCCAGTAGATACTTTCTTTCTACCTCTTGACCCTGTGTACTGTGAATGACAGAAAATCTCATTTCTTCCTTTGTGCCCTAGTGCCAGTACCAGATTGCCTCAATGGGCTCTCTCCCTGTCCCCCTCCTAATACTCTCCCCCATTTTCTTGTTGCCTTACCCTAGAGGCTCTGTGGCTTCCCATGCTGTCTTTGCTCTGGTGTCTTGCCACTCTCATCTCCAATTCCCGGGCCCTTGACGCACATCCAGCTCTCTGTTAAATATGGCACACAATTGCCACACAGAACACGCCACCTTTACTGCCTAAGGTAATTTCCTCGCTGACCAGATGCCCTTGTGTGAGCAGTGTCCAGCCATATGCAATAACTGGCTATAATCTGAGTGCATTCCTCATCCTTGCCATTTTCAGCCAACAATTTCACCTGATACCCACCTCCTCACATCTTTTTGTTTGTTGTTTTTCAAGACAGGGTTTCTCTGTGTAGCCCCGGCTGTCCTGGAACTCACTCTGTAGACCAGGCTCGCCTTGAATTCACAGAGATCCACCTGCCTCTGTCTCCCAAGTGCTAGGATTAAAGGTCTGGACCACCACTGCCCTCACATCTTAGAAAGCCCTGCTCTAGTCCCCCTTCAACAGTCAACCAGTTTGCCATACCTTTTCCTCTTCCTCGTCGTCGTCCTCCTCCTCCTCCCCCTTCTCCTCCTCCTTCTCATAGTTTCACGTATCCCAGGCTGATTAGAACTTCCTCTGTAAGTAAAGATGACTTTGACCTCCTCCTCCTGTCACCACCTCTCAAGTGCTAGAATCATATATGTGCCTGTGGGGTCTTTTACCAACACAAATCTGGCCTTATTAACCCACAAGATCCTTCAGAGATTCCAGAAACCTCCCAGGTTCCCCTGTCTAGCCCTTGCCTCTGCCTGATCTCTCCTCCCAGAAGGCCACTGGTTCAGCAGAGAGACAGACTCTCACCACACTCTTGCTTTGCCTCTGCCCAGGCTGTTCTTCCCTCCACCCTTCACCTACCTAGCTCTTGGCTCTCAGCATCTTCACTTTCACTCTGTGAGTTTGTTCTTTGTGGGACTTTGTGCTGGTTGAGGGGAAACTCACAAAGCATTAAACTGTCCCTTTATTAAAGGCTTGTTTTTATTTATGGGTATGTGTGTGTGCATGTGAGTTAGTATACATACATGCATGCAGGTGTCTTCAGAGACCAGGAAAGGGTATATGATCTTCTAGAGCTGGGGGTTACAGGTGGTTGTGAGCTATCTGATATTGGTGCTAGAAACTGAACTCAGATCCTCTATAAAAACTGATGAGCCAACTCTCCAGTCCCACAATTGGCCATTTAAATTGAACAGTTCAGACAAGGGATGCAAATCAGTAATAGAGAGACTGCCTGGTACATTCTAGGCTAGCCCAGAAATGCATTAATAAAAACAGAGTGAACAATTTAGCCAATATGACATATCTATAATCCTGGCACTTGGGATCCTGAGTCAGGAAGATCTTGAGTTCAAGACCAGCCTCACTTGGCTACATAATGAGATCCTGTATTTAAAAAAGAATCAATTCGATGGTCAGTGGTGGAAAACCCTGTCTCTGAAAAAAAAAAAAAAGAATCAACTCAATTACACAGTGACATTTAGTGCATTGACACTGTGCAACTACTACCTCTTTGTGGCTACAAGATGTTTACATTCTCCCCTCAAGAGACTAAGCAGAGCTGGCTGGTGGTGACAGTGCAACCTTTGATCCCAGCACTCAGGAGGCAGAGGCAGGTGGGCCTGGTCTACAAAGTAAGTTCCAGGACAGCCAGTGTTACACAGAGAAACCCTGTATCAAAAAATAAGAGAGAGACTAGGCAGATAGGCAGACCAGGGTATGGTGACTTTTGCTTTTTTGTTTTTTGTTTTTTTCAAAATAGAGTTTCTCTGTGTAGCTTTGAGGCCTATATCCTGGTACTCCCTCTGTAGACCAGGCTGGCCTCAAACTCACAGAGATCTGCCTGTCTCTGCCTCCTGAGAGGATTAAAGGCATGCGCCACCAACACCCCGCAGCTCTTGCTTTAATCCCAGAATCTGAGAGGCAGAGACAGGCAGATCTCTATGAGTTCAAGGCCAGCCCAGTCTACAGAGTGAGTTCCAGGACAGCCAGGGCTACACAGAGAAACCTTGTCTTGAAGGGGGGGTCTAGGCAGTTACTCCCCACCCTCCTTCCCCAACCCAGGCCCTGGAAACCACTGACCTTGTCTTTTAATGGCCTCGGCTGGACATTTCATATCAATGGAATCACAAATTTATAGTCTTTTGATTTTGTTTCTCTACTTAGCATTGTGTTTTCAAGGTTCACTCAGTGGTATGGATCACTATGTCATTCCTTTCCATGGCTAACAGTGTCCCATTGTATGCATGGACCTCATTTTACTTTTTCACTCATGGTGGGCATCTGATTTATTTCCTTCTATATTGTGACATAATGCTACTACTATAAATGTTTATGTACAAGCATTTGTTTGCATCCATGTTTTCATTTGACTTGGAACTACCTTAGGAATGAAATTACTGGGTCACGTTCACTCTATGTTCAGCCACTGAGCCATTTCTCCAGCCTGCTATGTTCAACTTTTTGAGGAACTGCCAAAACATCATGAATGTTTTCACTACATTGTACTGCAGTGAGTTCACTCAGGAGGATCAGTCCCTATCTGGGGACATCTTGTCAGAAAACAGGCTCATAGCTGCAGAACTGCCATTGAAAGCTCAGAGCTGGAAGATGGTGGATCCCAGTTTGGCCCAGCTGCAGTTCAGACCCCACTCTCTCCTGACCTCATCCTTTCTGACCAGCTAAAGAGACTGATGCACAAGGAACCTGCACCTTACTTAGCTTCCTTTTGATGAAGCATAAGCTCTCCAAAGGCCACTCTACTGAAGGCTCAGAGTCCTGGGCATGCTGAGTGAAGAGGAGAGACAGCATAAGAAGGACATTTAAATCAGCATCAATCATGATATGGGACTCAAGAAGACAGAAGAGTGGTCAGATGTGTGTCACCTGTTTCCTGAACTGTTGCCCTTTCTTTGGGACTCTGGGTGGAGCCAGGAGCTAAAGGCTGGGATGCTGCAGATGGTTCAACTCAGAGATAGCTGTTAAACTGGGCGTGGCCCTGAGCATTCTGAGTAGCAGCTCCAGCATCTCTGTTGGGTAGAAGAAATCTGGAGCATGTGGCTTTTGAGCCTTTGTGAGATACTACTCACCAGCACAGCACTTTACAGAGGTGGTGCCCACAGAAATGACACCTGACATATGCTTCCAGCAACCCATGGGAAGGCACATTTAACATTACCATTGTATTCATAAGGGGCTGAGTACCAGTGCTTGGGGAATGCTCTGAGCAGGTACACAGCTGAGAGGCAGAGGCAGGGGCTGCGGGCTAGCTGGCGGCAGCTAAGCATCCGGGAAGAAAGCCAGTCAGGGCTGCAGTGAAGCTGCCATCAGCTCAGCAATTCTGCTGGCTCAGCGGCCCCTCCTCCCAGGATCTTCTTCGGAGACCTG